TCATGCATCTGCATCTGTATCTGCCGGTTATTTAACCTCCTTTAACAAATCTTAATCATAACTGTCGATAACAACCTATAACAATAAAAGGATGATCATATCAAGTGACTTTTTAAGTATCCCTCGATGTAATCGATATACCACAGATGCTAACTTTATACAGTAGTGCTCTCTCTTGACGAATATATTTTTCATGCATCTGCATCTGTATCTGCCGGTTATTTAACCTCCTTTAACAAATCGAATATTCTGCTACTTATTGTTTAACTTTTCTAACAAGTTCCATATGCAGGTTGATCCGAAGAATCAACTAAATACAAGTGAAATTTGAAATTAAAAAAACTGGCTAAAACAGTAGGAGCCTTCAAGGCTCTAGCAATTTGACACTATGATCCTGAAGGCACCTAATCGGCTCTTAACGTTGTTGATGAAATTCTAATTTTTGTCCGCAGAAATCAAAGTGTTTTATTTGCTTTTTCCATTATCTGTTGTAAGTGTTGATCTCATTTCATGTTGTTTTGTATAGTGGGAGCTAGATATTTGACTGATGGTATCTCTTCAAGGTTATAGCAATGAAGAAGATAGACTGTTCTTATATATTATATCGGTCTTCTTGTTTGTAACCCTATGCTATGTTTGTCCGGATGTCATGAAATAGCATGCACCATAGTTGTTCCAAGCTAGTTTTATTAATGTCTTCTTGAATTATTTCCCCATGTGTTTAAGTTTGGAAGAGCATATTATACCTATACATCTTTTTTCATAGCAATCCATGCACACAAAGAAGTTCTGAAAATTTGTATTTTTATTTTAACAAAAAACAAGTTATTACCACACTTTTTTATTCCAATTTCACAAAAATCACTTTGTGACTGTGAATCAATTTGCAATAGACATTTTACATATATTTCAATGTTCGCTGAAATCCTAGCACAAAAGTTTTTCTTAAAAATTGTGATTTTGAAATGAAAAAAAAGGGGGGGGGGGGTCAAACTAAGCAACGTTAGGAGTGGAACATGTAAAAAGTCTATGCATTAACGATATATGTAGCTCTATAAGGGGGCACACCCTCCCCCTAAATCCGGCTCTGATCTAATGTGTAAAATGTCATTGGCGTCCTACCAATACTTTTGAAGTTTGCGTTTACAAAAATTGTCGATTAGGGAAAACTACAGGGCTTCAGCATATCCTCGATCCGGGCCTAATTAAGTTAGAATAATATAAATATGATATATAATTTTAAGACTATTTAAAAATGGCTCTGCTAGTGAAATAGTTAGTGCACGCTTTTAAAATGATGTCTCTATTAATGACTTGCTGCTATTTATACAAAAGCTGTTAGGTATTCATCACATTCGCACGAAACTTTATTCATTACTCCTTTCAAAACTTCATTCTCTGTTTAATTTATGTTTGGAAACCACTGTTACAAACCCTTATTCAAACCAATACAAACTTACAGCTATCATTTCGGATATTGCAAGTCACAAACTTTTCAAACCAGTTCGCATTGGAAAAGATGAAAAAGAGAAAAGATCTTTTCTTAAACTTTCCCTTGCCAACAAAGGTCTCGATGGCGTCAACTTAGGCAATATCCTTCATCTTAGATTAGTTCAGTCGAAAATACCTCCTTATTTTAAAGATCAGTCTGTACCAATCAATTCATTTCTTATACCTATACCAAACCAATTGCAACTAAAATTTTCAATTACAAACACGTTTTGATGGATCTCAACATTGACGACTTCAAGTCTAAACCTCCTGATTGCACCTGTGCTAGTTCCCAATTCACATATAATCCGGCTGCCCACGTTATTACCGGAGACCTCAACATTGTCAATAACACTTCCCTGCGAAATTTGTTATCCAAAGGTCCGCGAGCCTAAATCCATCAATTGGAAATACAACTTCATAATACTGATGGATTCAGTCGAGGATTATGCCAGGCAATGGGCTAAACGCGAGAAAGAAGACGTAGATACTCTTTCTGAATGGATTCAGGCTGTGAGGTCGTTGATACAAATCCGAATTAAGAAACTAAATGGGTCTATCAATACCCACGCTACGTCAATTTTTAAAGACCCAAATGTTGCAAAACACTTGTCCTACCTCCATGACAAATATGTTGTTGTCCCCGCAGATAAAGCCCCAAACAACATCGTTTTTGTGTGTAAATATCATTACATATACTGCTTGATAAATGAATTAGGTATTGACAATTCATTTGGAAACCCAACATATACCCTCACGACACTTACCAAAGAGGAAATCCTGGATAATCATAGGTCTGTACTATGTTCCTTTGGAATTTCAACTAAAGATGAAGAACTGGATCTTCTATCACTGTATTGGATACCTAAACTACATAAGTGTCCTTACAAACAACGGTATATTGCTGGGTCTTCCAAGTGCTCCACGAAACCTCTTTCTAAATTATTAACATCTATTTTATCAGCAATCAAAGCCGGGCTCCAAAGTTATTGTGAAACTGCATATTCTAGAGGTGGCGTGAATCAGATGTGGATACTAAAAAATTCCAAAGATCTTTTAGAGTACATACAATCTAAGACTCTCTCATCTTGCAATAGTATTAAAACATTTGACTTTTCTATACTTTACACAAGTATTCCCCATTCCAAACTAAAAGACAAATTGAAAGAGTTGGTATTACTTTGTTTCATTAAAAAGAATGGCGAACGTAGATACAAGTATCTTGTATTGGGGAGGGATAATTCCTACTTTGCAAAAGAATCACTCTGATTCAAACAAAAAATTCTCTGAAACTGACATTATCAAGATGCTTGATTTCTTGATTGACAACATATTTGTTACGTTTGCAGGACATGTTTTTCAACAGACTGTCGTAATTCCAATGGGAACCAATTGTGTCCCTCTTCTTGCCAACTTGTTTCTTTATTATTATGAGGCTGACTTCATACAGGAACTTCTTAGGAAGAAAGATAAGAAGTTAGCAATATCCTTTAATTTTACGTTCCGTTATATAGATGATGTTCTCTCACTAAATAATACAAAATTTGGTGACTATGTTGAACGAATCTATCCCATCAAACTAGAGATAAAGGATACTACAGATACAGTTAAGTCTGCCTCATATCTTGACTTACATCTAGAAATTGACAATGTGGGTCGGTTGAAAACAAAACTTTACGACAAAAGAGATGATTTCAGCTGCCCAATTGTGAACTTTCCATTTCTATGTAGCAACATTCCAGCAGCGCCTGCATACGGAGTATATATCTCCCAGTTGATACGATATTCCCAGGCTTGTATTTCCTATCATGATTTCCTTGATAGAGGATTGCTGCTCACAAGGAAGCTATTAAACCAAGAGTTCCAAATGGTGAAGTTGAAATCATCCCTTCGTAAATTTTACGGACGCCATCACGAGTTGGTTGACCATTATTGAATAACCGTTTCACAGATGATATCAGATATGTTCCTTATGTCGTAACTACAATACCCTTCCCTTTTCACGAATGTGACCTACCGAATTAGACTATTCACCGGATTTGTAATAACATAAGCAACACGACAGGTGCCACATGTGGAGCAGGATCTGCTTACCCTTCCGGAGCACCTGAGATCACCCCCAGGTTTTGGTGGGGTTCGTGTTGCATAGTCTTTAGTTTTCTATGTTGTGTCATCTGTACTATTATTTGTGTTTGTCTTTTTATTTTTGGCCATGGCGTTGTCAGTTTGTTTTCGATCTAAGAGTTTGACTGTCCCTCTGGTATCTTTCGTCCCTCTTTTACATGAACTTAATTATTAGGTGTTATTGGATCCTGTTATTTTTTTAGATTTTCTTGGCGTTATGAATACTGCTCTGTTCGACGAGTAAAGGCGCACATTTTCAATGTTACATGAATCTGAAATACCAAAAAATCATGATGTTTTGATTGTGAATAGAAGTGTAGTGCACCTAGGTTTCTTCGCTGGTATTTGCGACCATTTTTTCTGTTATTTCAAACGTACATGTAAAGTGCTCTTTAATCCTTTATAATTTCCGATTTCAAACATTTGCACTCCAGCACTACTGAAGAACAAATTTCTAAAATGTGCACCAATGATTTTTTCCTGTGGGTCGTATCTGGAGAGGGAAATTCCCGAGACATGTGTGGTGCACATTTGAAATGGTATCAGACTTAAATCACTTTCATATTGTTGGCACTGAGTCAGTGTTAATTGCTTCTAATGGATTGTTGGTGCCCTAGTGTACCATATGCCTAGTAGCCGATGCTTAGGTATAGGCACATTTCAAATGATGCTATTTTATTGTAAAATTTTCAGTTTATAAATTAGGCATTTGTACTTTACCAGCTATGGTTGCAACTCCTTCATGCAAAGCTGACCTTTGATCATAATTTTGGCTTTCACAAGCTTAGGTTTCTATCACCTGAGAAATGTTATTCCATGAATTTGTCATGTGCATTACTATCAGTATTATGATGATATTGAAATACATACTTGAAAATAAACTCTGGAGGGTACCTGCTGCAGGAAATTCAAGATCTGTTCAGGTTTTGAGGCTTTTAATGTTTAAATATTTGACAGCTTGTCTACAGTGCACTTTGTGGTTATTAACGAAACCTGTTTTTGTATACTGAAACTAATATTCTTTAGCCTTCTCTGAATCAGTACAGTTCACTGCGCTCAATCGTACACGCAGCCCAGTATCCAGTGCTTAATACTTGTTTCAGGTAAATGGTACGCTTATAAAGTAAATTGGCAGACAAGGATGCATCTTCCTCAGCCAAGTTGACCTTCAAAAAATAAAACTGTCCTTTACAGGCCATGAGCAAAACTGATGTTGGTAATTTTCGGAAGACATTTTTTTGTGAACAATGAAATCCGTATCATACATTTATATTGAAATACATGTCATTAGCATAAGATATCACCCTCATCGAATATGCGCTAGGGACTTTCAGTAAGCAGGTAAGATGAGTTGTTTTGTTTAAATAAATACATAAAATACAAAATTGAATTAACATTTTAATATTGATATAATATGGATATATGAATAAGAATTTTACTAGATTAACATAAACATCTGTACAACAGAGGATTGATCAATAATGGTGGATTTCAAGTTGTTAAATTACAAAAATTGACTTAAAATATTCAAATAGAATAAAATCTCAGGAAATAGAAAATCAGTAAATAACCTTGAATGACATATCTTGTTCTTTGTGATAAAAATATCAACCTAGTACAAACTTCTCTTGTTCATCAATAGTTTTAGTAGATTTATAGCCAATGTTTATAACATGTTTCTTTCTCTTTCCTGTATTATTTCCTTGTGCTTCATATAGAGTTTTTAAATTTCGAACACATCTGTATTTTTCTCAATGTAATAATTTTAACATGCTGATGTAGTCACAATATTATTTGAGAGGACTTCTTTATTGCCTTGGTTCCAATTTGACCATATTCAACTGTATTTGCTTTCCTTGTCTTTTCCATAAAGGCATTATTTTAAACTTAATGCATCATTCCTTTTTTCAAATAAACCAATTTCAACATTTATCACTTCAAAACATCTAGCCTTACAGACACATCTAATTGGTCAAGAATTTTTTTCACTATTTCTCAATGTTTTACATCTTGGTATACAATTTTTGTGCTTTGATTCTATCACAAGACACAGACATATTTCTGATTGCTAGTCTACATTATTTCGTATCAAGTTATTTTTTTATTTCCACAAATTTATTTACAACAAATGTACATAAATACACAAGTATATAATATATATCTATACTTTGCAAAATTGAGGAACTAAGTATCAGTGACTGGATTTTTTCTTGCAACTTCCTCCTTTCCGTTTCCCAACTGACAGTCTATCCACCAATTATGTTTTTTTTACAGAATAGCCAGCTTTTCTACACTTGTTATGCAGTGTATATATCCAGTTTTTAAAGTTATTTTAAAATATTTTCAATAAAATCATTAAAAATTCCAGCTAAAGAACGCACTGAAGAGCACAGTTATATTTTAAACCACATGAACATCACAGTTTTTAAAAAATTTCATACCACTTTGTCTTATCAAGGTATAAACACATGAAATACAGCGACAAAAAATAGGTATATATTTATTCAGATAATGATGAATTAAAAACTTTATCCCTCTAAGAAAGGCTTTGCTGTGCTAATAAGTTCAACTGCGAGCTACTGCTCACTGATGATACCCGCCCAAATATTTCGGTAAACAGGAAGTTGTTGAGTGATGAATCTGAAAGCGCATTACACAGTATAGCTGACTTATATAAACCCTGAAATCAAATTTCAGAAATCCTTGTAATGTAGTTCCTGAGAAAGATGCGACGAAATATTCATGGGACGGACGGACTGACGGACAGGCAGAGGTAAAACAGTATACCACCACTTTTTTAAAGCGGGAGTATAAAAATGGATTTCAGGGTATTGTCTGTGTACAGTTTAATGACAGACTGCCATTTTCTCGATTTATGTTCATTAGATACAATTTTTTGGGGTAATTATATACCATGGTTTCAATTTCTCTATATAATGCATATTCTCTTCCTCAAGGTTAGCATGACCTTTTTATGTTTGATGTTCTTCCACATACAGGCCCTTTGCATGAGTATATGTATATGTAAGACGTCTAGATATTAGTCAACGATCTATATACACTGTTTATAACAACATAAACATATTTATTTTATTTCTATTTATAATGCTCAATAACATTTTATTTTCTTTTCATGCCAAAAATACCAGCTTCTATCCTGTATTTTTTCTAAGGTCAATTATGTTAGATCAGACAAAAATTGATCTCCATAAATTTCCTTCAAAATCAAAAGTCCAACTCTTCTCTTCAGCATTCATTCTTTACAGCAGAAACTGATGATGTTGATGATAAGAAGATAACCAAGTGAAATATTTCAAACCTAATATTATACCTTTAACAAAGTTATGTAATACTGTTCGGGTAATTTCTTAATATTTGTTCATTAAGTATATTTTTAAAAATACTTCAGGGTTCAAAACATATAAAGTCTGTATCTATCCTTTCTCTGTTGATGGTATTACCATCTGTTCCAATGACACATTATTCTAGGATTTCTCATTTTCATCTTTTTCAATTTTAATAGTATTTTGCTTTCTTCTTCAACAAACTATGGTTTAACTGGCTCTTTTACCATGGCTCTTTTTAATTTGACAATAGCTGCACTTCCAGAATAACAACCTGATAGTTTGTTAAAATCAACTGTAAAGCTGAAACATAACAAAAATAGGAATCAGTAAAATTTTCTCCATGTTAATCATTTTATTTTAAAACTATGAGCAAAGGCATTTATGATATTTCATTTTCCTTCAAAATCTTGAAGTCTGCTCAATGATAAATGATATGTACTTTAACACAGATCAGCAGTCGTTACAAATAAAGTTACTTGGTATATAACATGTATTATCAAATTTAAGGTAAATATCACAGAGAGAGTAACCCAATTAATTAAAATCAAAAGAAATTTTAAGGTCAAGTTGGTCAACACAAAGTTCAACAATAGACAAATGTCTATCATGTCTATATATATACAATATGTCAAGCTTTAAACCACAGTGAGTCTAGAAAATGTGTAAACAAATGTAACAGAAAAACCAAATATAATATACCATCAACACTAATTAATAGATGACCAAAGAAAACATCAGTCACTGATGGGTGAGGTTATGTCATCCACATGTTTTGCCATCTGACAATAATTGAACTGCCAATTAAATTTACATTTAACCAGAATTTAATTATTTTTATTTTGGAATGCTGACTGTATTGCACTTATTGCTCGTTTTGTTAATGTTAACTAGTTCTTTGTTCATGTTACATTTGCAGTTCTTAGGGCCTCTATCTGTACCATTAGATCAATTGTAGTTTGCTTTATGTCCAGTGGCAAATTACACAATAAGACAATTTCATGTATCTCTTAACAGTATGAAATAATGATATTTATTTGCAAGAGAGTCAAACAACGCTGAATTCCAGTCAGAAAAATTAGCTATCCTCATACATTATACAACACAAAAGATTACTGCATGTACATGTAAGAAGATGGCTTATGTGTTGCTTATTGCTACTTTGTTTCTCTTAAACCTGCTGTATAAAAAAATACTTACTATTTTCCATCAACTAGTACTGTTGCTGTTTTAGCTGCCAGATAGTTTTGATATTTAGTTTCTAAATCTTTGATGGTTTTCTGTGAAATTTCTGTCCATTTATTGTTGTCAGCTATAGACCAGCATGGTATATGATTGGTTGCATTCTCATCATTTTCTGGTACCTGATTGTTTGTGGCCTCATCCTTTCCTGGTATATTATTGGTTGTAACCTCATCCTTTCCTGATACTTTATTGGTTGTCTTATTATTCAAAACTGTAGAAGATTTCGATATTTTCTTTGAATAAGATTCTTTTCCTGCAGGAGAAGCTCCATCCTTTTCTAATTTCAATGCTGTATCCTCTATCAAATCTTTTGCTGCCATACAAACATTTCTCTTTTCTTCTATACTTGTTTCCTGCGAATTGGTCTCACTTGATACTGAGCTCAGACTTGTATCCATCACTTTTTGAATTTTGACTGATATAACATCATCACCACCAACTTGTACTTTTCTTTTCAACCTTTCTTTAGTAAAGTCAGATTTTTCTTCATCCATCCCTAACTGATTTGACATGTACCTTCTTCCAGTCTTTACAAGTTCATCTTTAAAATCAGTTAACGACCATTTTAATAATGCTAAATCCCTGGTCAACCCATCAACTAAAACTCTTGGATCTAAACCATATTTGCAAAGGATTTCATACACATTACCTTGCAGTAAACTATGATTGCGACGACACGAGGACCATATATTGCAACGACCTTCAACAAAATTGCGACAAATATGAAGGAAAGGACATTTTTGCTGCTGTTGTTGATTTCCCATTTTCTCTTTGCTCCTACATCCCTTCAAACTGTTGTAGAAATGACATATAATAGGGACGGTCACCCTGCATCTGTTTGCATCATGTTGGAGCAATAGACACAAGTTTGGTAATTCTACTCTATGAAGGTAAAACTTTTGTTGTACCTCTATATTGTGATCGTCACTCAAGTTGTGGCCAAATTTACATTTAATCATGTCACATGAACTCAGAACATAGAATTTACAAATGTGAAGTGCATCACAGTCACCCTGGCAAGATTTTGGATGATTTGAATGAGCCTGGCACAGTTTGACATCTGATTTTGCTCGAACTAATTCAATTCCTTCAGTACTCAGTCCATCCTCTTCTTTATTTGCTTTCTCTGTATCAAATTCAAATACTTTTGGATATTTCTGTAAAAAAGGTTTCAAAACTTTATCATCTTTAAATCGATGCTTGACAGTACTTACAAATTCCTTTTCTAATCCTATAACTGTAAATTCTCCTCCGTTTTTGAGAAGTAGATTCAGTAAATCAGAAATTAAATCTTCGATTGCCTCTTTTCCTAACAACTCTGGTTTAATTACAGGCAAATTGTTCAGTTCTTCCTCAGAATCTTGATTTACAACTGATTCCTCTTCCCTGATTTTAGGCTCAACATTTGTAGGCTTATTTTTTAAGAATTCTATAGCCATTTTGATACCAGATTCATTTGTTGGCCAATCATAACTTCTTTGGTTTGATTGTGAACTTAAGACACCTTCTTCTAAAGGTTCATAAATATCAGTACTCTCATTTTTATTTTCAGAAAAAATCCTTTTATGCCAGTTTCTCTCTTTGTATCTTTCTTGTCTTGGACTATCAAAATAGTAATTCTCGTAACCTGCTCTTTTGAAATTCCTTCTTCTATCTCTAGCATCATTAACTCTTTCCTCATTATAGTATTGCTGTTCACTGCCAAGTGTTTCCCTGTTCTGATAATCATGTAAATCCCTTCTATCATAATCATGGGGATGCTGAAAATCATAATTATCTCCCATATCATATCTCCTGTCATCATATGGGTCTCTTTCATCTTTATTATAACTTCTGTTTTCATAAGTATCATTGTCTCTGCTATAACTGACTCTAATATCTTCAACAAAGTTTCCATCTCTATCTCTTCGTTCATTAATATTGTCTCTCTCATAAAACCTATCATATTCTTTGTCTGCAAATTCAGCATTATCTCTGCTGTATCGATCCCTTTCTAAATATTCAAATGTATCACTTGCATGCCTTTCTCTCCCTACAAAATTATAATCATCTCTATCATAACATTGCTCCATACTTCCTGAATTTTCCTCAAAATTCCTGTGATAATATCCACTTGTTTCATCTGACTTTTGATACTGATTTGATCTATTTGCATTTCTAAAATTACTTTTATGAAATATTTCTTGTGTATCCTGAAACCCTATATCATCAGTATTCCATCCTGGTCTATCTCTCTGAACTTCTCTTGACTTTGCCCTGCCACGTCCTCTATTACTGTTGCCACCAAACTTACTATGAGCATGCCCTCTGCCTCTTTGGTAGGGTCTCATGGTTATATGGATTTTCTTATAATCTGAAATATTTTTGTATAAAAATAATTCCATTAACTAGGATACAATCTGTTTCATGTAGGTTTCTGAAGCTAATAGCGAATTACTGCAAATTGTGTAAAATAACAAAAATTGGACTACACAAAGCTTTAAAGACGTAGGAATCATATTGAGGTACAATGTAGTTCATCAATAAACAATTTGTTACCCTTCGTGACTTTCTTTTTCTTGTATGTATAAATATATTTAACTTTCTGTCTAATAATTTTGAACTAAAATAATATGAAAAGAAATATGATTTTAAATTAATTTTAAATTAACTTTTGTTTATTTTGAACCCTCTAAAAAGTCAAAACTTAGTTTGATAAAAAATCAGATCTTTCACTTTGCTATATATCAGTGGCGGATCCAGAACTTTTCATAAGGGGGGCCCGCTGACTGACCTAAAGGGGGGGCCCGCTCCAGTCATGCTTCAGTGATTCCCTATATAATCAACCAAATTTTTCCCACAAAAGGGGGGGGGGGGCCTGGGCCCCCCCCTGGATCCGCCTATGTATATGATTTGTTTGTCATGGTGTGGAACACCTGAAAACATCCCATAAGGGATCATATTTAGACGACCTTGTATTCATATTTTTTACTTTTTATTTTTAATCAACCAATCATTTCAAGGGACACAGTGGCACTTTGATTACAAATTTTCCCCTGCAAACATAGATTGATACAATTGAAACCAAATTCAACCATTATATTGATTGAATATTTTATTTACTTACACTTTTTAACATACAATTCTAAATAAACAAAACAATGCATTTTACTGCTTTGCTAGGTTGAGAAATGTTTATAATAAGGTATGTCTATAAAATGGAAATTCAATGGTTTAAACACAAGATTTTCAACACTAAATTGGGAAAAATATGGCAGTAACTGGAACTGTCAAAAACTTATGAAAGCAAGAAGATACTGTAAATTCAGAATTTAAAGCGATGTTTTTATTAATGCGAAAAATACAAAAGTATCAGGTTTGTAATAATAAAAACTCACATTCATAATTTCAGTAGTGATTTTCCTTCACAAAATTTTTGGAATGGCATTAATTAGATCTGGCATTTTTAGCAGTAATCAGTGATTTGCAATAATAAATGCATGCATTAATTTCTGAATTACAGTACCGGTACTTAAAATCTGAGGAAAATTATGGATAAGAAAATTTTATACATTTCAACTAAACAGAATCATCAGAAAAGATTAAGTTTCTTTACATATACATATCATGGATTACAGCTTACCGGTAATTCATTTTTATCATGTTTATGTTTATCCTTTTTTTTTTTAAGGAATTCTTTTCAAGAAGGATTAGAACCATCCCAGTTTGATGTCAGTGAAGTGTTTCCAAGGTTCATTTCCCATTGTAAATGTAGTACATGTATTAACATTTTTTTCAGAAAAATAACATGCTGATGATGGTTAAACAGTATACGTAGTTTAGGGTGAAACTACAAGCAGTTTTATTTTGTTTTGAAGATTCTAATTCTATATGTATAAAAATGTATCTTCATGTATATTCAGTATAAAGATGAAAATTAAGTAATATATTCAAAATAAATATAAAAACAGTAAAATATCACAATCATTTCACAAAATATACATGTGACAGTATGGATATTTTAAGTGTTTACACAAGGCCTTTTCAGCATCATGGTAACGTGATACTTTCTTGCTTGATAGTGGTGCTATCTGAAATGATTTTCTTACAGATTGTGTTATGGATGTGGTGCTTTAATTTTTAGAAACAAGATGATGGTATTTGAAAATTTCCCATTTACCGAGATGCTATATGAAATTTGTGTGTAGAAAACTGAATATTTTGTGAAACAATAGTGATTTTATATTGTTTTAATATTAATTCTAATACGACGTGCTTCTTTCGCTTTGTAAACAACAGCCTGATAAAATTCTTGATATATCTATACTTAGTGCAGACTCGTTATAGTGTAACGTCACGTCAAAGCATGACGTTATAGGAATGAAAACTCTCAAGCTGAAGATTATTCCTTTACATGTACGCTCTAAATTCGGATAATATTGCATCAAAATGGAGTTTTGAGGTAGGTGTTGTATCATTTTCTATTCTATTGCATCATTCGCACATTCATGGATTTCAGCAAGTCAACATGGCAACTCACTCCGTAGTTAAGACATGTCAACTGTGGATTTGACAGTGAATAGTAGCCTACGAAAAAAAAATGTTTGGGTTAAGAATTATAAGGATTGAACACCTTTTTTCTAGGGGTTATTTAAGAAATAATTCATGCAAGCCTTAGATTTATTTGGAATTTGTAGCTTTAATCTTACAGGGGGTAAAATAGAACAGCCATACACACGGCAATCTTACTTTCGATTCAGTTTTTCAAATTACCGTATTTGTCCTATCAGAATCGAAATAATTCATGCAAACCATTGATTTGTTATCATTTTCACATAGCCTGTGCCATTATATTCGTTAAACTTATCCCTCACTAACGCTTGAGATAAAATTCAAATATAAAAGGCCCATGCCATGTGAAAATTTCCAACAAATCTATAGCTTGCATGAATTATTTCTTAATTTCTATATAGGTTCTGTACCATCCTTTCCTACTGTATGTTTTTTACTATCTTTACTATTTGTGAACTCATAAAAACTAAAAAACTTTTTGAAATATATAGTGGGGGTATATACATGTAGTGTAATATTGTACAAAATCTAAATAAAAAAAAGGTGTTAAATAAAAAAATTAATAAAATTGGCAAGGCAGAAAACTTGCAGGAGGATATCCTGGCATATAAATACTGCCTTCATATTGATAATAAAACTCTTGAACAAAAAATTGTCGGAAATGTTATGTGATTAGTGTCAATTTTATGAGTAAACAATGGCTTAAGACTTTTCCAACTGATTTTTATACTTTGTTCTTATTTTGTGCTGTTAACACCACTGTCCCAGGTAAGGGAGGTTTGAGTGCTTAAAACAAGTTTAACCATGCCACATTCTTTAACTTTATGTGGCTGTCCTAAGTCAGGAGCCTGTACTTTAATGGTTGATTTTGCTTGCTGTCTGCCATATTAGTTTTTTTATTCATTATTTTCAGCATAAATCAGGGTATAAATGGTTTTCTCATTTGAAATGTTTCACATTTTGTCATGCAAGGATTTTTTATAGCTTACTATACGGTATGAGGTTTGTACATTGTAGGTTGTACAGTGCCCTTTAGTTGTTTTAATCTTCTCGTTTGGTCTCAGGAGGTCATTGGTGGATAGTTGTCTCATACCACATCTACTTATTTATATTACTTTCAATAATGCAACATCAATATAAATTTGAAGTAAATTGATCAAAACATACTTAAATTAGTGCAAGACCTGTGAATGTTGCATTAATTCTGATGGTTGAAAAAGTCCAATAACTCTTGAATGACAAATGGGAAAATTGAGAAATTTGAAGGTGTATGTAATTAAACTTGCTTTTACTAATCTTAACAATTGTGTAAAGTCACAAGTAAATGGTTCCAAACATATTTAAGTTTGTGAGCAGTATTTTTTCAATATCATTGCAAAAGATAGTCTTTAATAAAATGCTCCGCTGGGTGCAGCTTGATATGACCACAGAGGTCGAACCCTGAACAGTTGGGGCAAGTATGGACACAACATTCAAGCTTGATACAGCTCTGAATTTGGATTGTGATTAAATATTTGACACAGCATAGGTTTCTGACACAGAATGAATGTGGTCTAAGAACTCAAAATTTTTTAATTTACCCATTATGGTCCAATATCCAAAATCTAAATACATACACGGTTAGATTCAGCATATCAAAGAACCCCAAGAATTCAACTTTTGTTAAAATCAAACTAAGTTTAATTTTGGACCCTTTGGACCTTAATGTAGACCAATTTGAAAACGGGACCAAAAATTAAGAATCTAAATACACAGTTAGATTCAGCATATCAAAGAACCCCAATATTTCAATTTTTGATGAAATCAAACCATATCATTATTATTTGCTTTTATGTATAAATCAAAAATAACCAACTTATAATGGAAAATTTTGAAGAAAAAAAAAGGAAAAAAAGGATAAAAAAAAACTAGAGGCTCTCAAGAGCATGTATCGCTCACCTGTATTTACTGATGCTTTGGAAATCATGTAAAATAAGGTTAAAATCATAATTAATAGTATTAGATATTAGATATTATAATGATATCTAAGATAATAACAAATAAACTGCTTCGCTGAGTGCAGCTAGATACGCCCGCAGAGGTCCAACCCTGAACAGTTGGGGCAAAAATGGACACAATATTCAAGCTTGATTCAGGTCTGAATTTGGATTGAAATTAAATATTTGACATATTATAGGTTTCTGAATAAATGTAGTCAAAGAACTTGAAATTGGTTATATGAATTGATTTTATATTCAATTAAAGATTTATTGCTGTTGTGCAATACTTAGTAAATCTGTTGTCAGACTATAAACAAATAAAGTTCAATTAATTCTCAATGTCATATTAGAAATTTATGAAAATAAAAAGGGAGCTTACATCAATAGATATAAACAATTCACCAAAGTTTCATGAGAATTGGTCACAGCATTTTTGAGTTATATGGCCGAAAACTGGAAAATCACCCCTTTTTTTAATGAATAAAACCCCACAACTCAGAAATGTAAAATGTAAAATTTATAAAATTCTAAAGGGAGCTTACATCAATACATACAAACAATTCACCAAAGTTTCATAAGAATTGCTGAAAGCATTTTTGAGTTTTTGTCCGAAAACAGGAAAATCCCCCCTTTTTTATGAATAAAACCCCATAACTCGGAAACGTAAAATCTAAATTTTATAAAAAACGAAAGGGAGCTCACGTCAATAGATATAAACAATTCACCAAAGTTTTATGCAAATTGGTTAAAGCATTTTTGAGTTAATGTCCAACATGTTGATGACGGACAGACGGACGGACAGAGGTATACCATAATACGTCCTGTAAACGGGCGTATACAAACTGCAAAATTTCTGTAAAATTACTAACTCAGGGGCAGCAACCCAACAACGGGTTGTCGGATTCGTCTGAAAATTTCAGGGCAGATAAACCTAAATCTGATGAACATTTTTGCCACCTGTCAGATTTGCTCTAAATGCTTAAGTTTCAGAGATATAAACCAAAAACTGCATTTTACCCCTATGTTCTATTTTTAACCAAGTCGGCCATGATGGTTGGAAGGCGGGGTCATTGGACAAATTTTTTAAAATAGATACCCTAATAATGATTATGGCCAAGTATGGTTAAATTTGTCTCAGTAGTTTAAGAGAAGAAGATTTTTGTAAAAGATTACAAAAATTAATGAAAAATTGTTAAAAATTGACTATAAAGGGCAATAACTCCTAAAGGGGTGGACTGACCATTTTGGTCATGTTTGGTCATGATGACTTATTTGTAGATCTTTGCTGAACATTATTGCTGTTTATAGTTTATCTCTCTATCTATAATAATATTCAAGATAATAACCAAAAACTGCAAAATTTCCTTAAAATTACCAATTCAGGGGCAGCAACCCAACAACAGGTTGTCAGATTTGTCTGAAAATTTCAGGGCAGATAGATCTTGACCTGATAATCAGTTTAACCCCTTTGTCAGATTTACTCTAAATGCTTTGGTTTCAGAGATATAAGCTAAAATCTACATTTTACCCCTATGTTCTATTTTTAGCCATGGTGGCCATCTTGGTTGGTTGGCGGGGTCATCGGACACATTTTTAAACTAGATACCCTAATGATGATTGTGGCCAAGTTTGATTAAATTTGGTCCAGTGGTTTCAGAGAAGATTTTTGTAAAAAGCTAACGACGACGGACAACGATCGGATGACAACCGCCAAGTGATGAGAAAAGCTCACTTGGCCCTTCAGGCCAGGTGAGCTAACAGGGAAAAAAATCCCTCCCCCAATTTTTTGAACCCCCTTATGATTCATCTACCCCAAAAACAATCCCAGCCTTCCCTTTGTGGTATGGTACCTTGCAGTACAATTTCAGAGATCCATACACTTGAACACAGTTATTGTCTGGAAACTGTAAAAATGCTTGTTTTTTGCCCCAAATTCCTAAACGTTTAGGGCAAATCAAACCCAGCTTTCCCTTTGTGATATGGAACCTTGTAGTACAATTTCATAAAGATCCATACACTTACACACAAGTTATTGTCCTGAAACTAGAAAAATGCTTGTTTTTTGCCCTTTTTTGGCCACTAATTCCTAAAATTTTGAGGCAATTACCCCAAACTCAATCCCAGCCTTCCCTTTGTAGTATGGTACCTTGCGGTTCAATTTCAGAGAGATCCATACACTTGAACACAAGTAATTGTCTGGAAACTAGAAAAATGCTTATTTTTGGCCCCTTTTTTGCCCCTTATTCCTAAACGTTTAGGGCAATTACCCCCAAACTCAAACCCAGCTTTTCCTTTGTGATATGGAACCTTGTAGTACAATTTCATAAAGATCCATACACTTACACACAAGTTATTGTCTGGAAACTAGAAAAATGCTTGTTTTTTGCCCCTAATTCCTAAAATTTTGAGGCAATTACCCCAAAAATCAATCTCAGCATTCCCTTTGTGGTATGGTACCTTGCAGTACAATTCCAGAGAGATCCATTCACTTACACACAAGTTATTGTCCGGAATCTAGAAAAATGCTTGTTTTTTTGCCCCTTTATGTCCCCTAATTCCTCAAATTTTGGGGGAATTACCCCCAAAAACAATCCCAGCCTTCCCTTTGTGGTATGGTACCTTGCAGTACAATTTTATAAAGATCAATACACTTACACACAATTTATTGTCATGAAACTTGAAAAATGCTTGTTTTTTTACCCTTTTTTGCCCCTAATTCCTAAAATTTGGAGGCAATTACCCCCAAAATCAATCCCAGCATTCCCTTTGTGATATGGAACCTTGTTGTACGATGTCAGAGAGATCCATACACTTACACACAAGTTATTGTCATGAAACTAGAAAAATGCTTGCTTTTTGCCCCTTTTTGGCCCTTAATTCCTAAAATTTGGAGGCAATTACCCCCAAAATCAATCCCAGCATTCCCTTTGTGATATGGAACCTTGTGGTACAATGTCAGAGAGATCCATACACTAACACACAAGTTATGTCTGGAAGTTACAAAAATGCTTATTTTTGGCCCCTAATTCCTTAACTGTTGGTACCATAACTCCCAAAATCAATCCCCACCTTCCTTTTGTGGTATTGAACCTTAAGGTAAAATTTTATAGAGATCCATTCACTCAAACTGTTAGAGTGCGAAAACCAATGTGTCTTCGGACGACGATGACGACAACGTCATACCAATATACGACCACAAAATTTTTTTGCGGTTGTATAAAAATCAAAACATCTTTTGTTGTGCTCAATTTTGACACTGTGTGCAATACGTCATCAGTTCTTGATAGTTGTGAAAAGTATAGTATGGTTACTATGGAATGCATGTTTGATATTAATAGAGGATTTAAAATTACGCAAATTGAAGAAAAATATCAATTAAGTATCATTTGTCTCTAGAAACAAATGATTTTTTATGAATTTTAGCCTTATCGATCAATTTAGGCATCTTTAACAGATATCCTAGGAATTTTCACTCAAGGACAAACATATGCATTGAATATTAATCTTTGATATATTTTAGATGGTTTTAAATTATTGAACCAATTCTTATATGTTATAAGATGTTGTCACAGCTGTTATTAATATTTTACTGTCACAGTAACAATTTTTACTTTTCAGATAATTGAATTGAATTAAATTTAAAAGTTCATAAGATATGCCCAAACTGCGTTCCATAGATTTTTTTCCTTAGCGATGTCACACCACATCTAACGGTTGTTTATTACGTATGTGGACTTGACCTTCTTTTCGAGCTAAGATTTGTTTACATTTAAAAACATGCTATTTATGAACCGAGAATATGAAGTTGGGCTAGTTTTGGGAATAAGGAAAAGTAGGTTAAAATCGGAAAATATTATTTCTACTGTTGCACCATGTCTGAAAACTTGAAATGGTGAAATTATTGCTTGCTTGAAGCAAGATTTTGTTCTGTCCTTGGAATCCCGACAAATAGAAAACATGTGCGATTTCGCGAAATATGTCTATTTTAACAATGCGCATTGTTATCGAGAACTGATTACTATCGAGAACAGATGACTACACGATATTTATTATTATTATTATTATTATTATGTTATCCCTCAATGGAGGGTTTTTCCCATGGCAGTGTCTGCGCGTACCCGCATGCGGGTACGAATAGTCAAATTGCCATTCGTAGGCTGCGCGTACCCACATCCGGTTTTATAATAATATGGCATCGGATCGGGAATGAAACGTGAAATATATACGGATATTATCGATAATATGGGGATTTCGTGAAGAACGAGTGAAGAGTATGAAAAATAATATTTTCAAATTGTATTTATTAGATTTATTAGATAATAATACATAATAAATATTGCAAATTAAATGCACACTGATGGAATATGAAACTGTACAGTCCCTGTAAAAGAAAAACATGATAAAAATTAATACTTTTATGAAATGTAAATGCAAATTTAAAGAATTAAATTTTACTGAATTTGAAAATTACCCATATGAGATTAAAAAATAATCTTTTAGTAAAATGTAAAACAGAAACTGAAATTTTAATAGATCTTAAATGACTAAAATTAAAGCTTTGGTGTCTATATAAAAATTAAAGAAGCAAGTAATAATGTCAAATTAAACCAATTTTAAAAGATTCATGTAACTAATTAAGATTTGGAACAAATTTTACATATCCAATAGGATTGTTTTGGCACATATTTCAACCCTGCACATTTCAAATGTTGTTTCTTTTATACAATTGTATAAAATTACTCGACTGATAGTTTTGAACAAATTGTTCCAATTCATGAAAACTTTGAAATGTCTTCCCCACATGTATATCACTCTCTTCCATTTTAAGAATATTTATTAACTGAGAAAAACTGTTCACTTACCTATATATAAATATTTATAAAACTTCTGAGAAGTTTTAATCAATTTATTCACTAATTGCGACAAATTCCGTATATATTTCACATTTAATTCCCGATCCGATGCCACATTATTATAAAATCGGATGCGGGTACGCGTAGCCTACGAATGGCAATTTGACTATTCGTACTGGATGCGGGTACGCACAGACACTGCCTATTCGGAGTATTCCTAATAGTAATACTATGGTTAATGAAAAAATTAAACAAATTAAATACGGATTTGGCTATCCTACCTACTGCCAAATCAGAAGAAAACAGCTCTTCTGCTCATTCCAACTCTGTCTCAGAAAACTGAGAGCATGTGTGAGTGTCATTGTATAATGTGTGTTTACAAATGTGAATCTGCCACGGCGCATTTTTCCCGCCATACATAATTTTAATAATAGTTTGATGTTTAAATATGTTTTTCTTAGCAATGGAAAGCCTCCTCAACTTATAATGACTGATGACAGAAAAGAAGTTAACCATAACCTGATATTAATTTATCTCGAAAATGATGCCCACCTTACCTTTTATAATTCTAAATGGATAGTCAAGCTCGGAACGACAACGAAGGACAAATTTTAATGCTATTTTAAATATTTCGACTCCGATCCAAGATCGCAATTATCGAGAACCTGGGATTTCTTTTGTATTTTGTATTTAAAAAATATAATCTAATTCAAACTTTGCAATGAAAACAAGATGCATAAAGTAAATTACAATTCAAATACCAAACTGATGGTACATCTCAGTATGTCTATAGTTAGATGTTATTGGAAATAAATGAATTAAAACTTAAGTTTAAAAATTCAACCTTCTGGTTAAGTGGAGACCTTAATCATCCAGATATAAATTGGCCATCAATGACAATAGAGGGGGAAATGTACCCGAAGGAAATGAACGAAATCTTTTTAGATATAAACAATCTAGGTTTGGATCAGTTAGTAGATTTTCCTACCAGTTTAGACATCTTTTGTACCAACCAACCAACTCTAATAACTAAAATAAAATCAATACCCGGTATATCGGATCACAATATAGTTTTGGTTGATGCCATTTGTAAGCCAGACCACACAAGTTAGAACTTATTATAGATCAGTGGTGGATTAAGTTTAGAGATGGTATAACAAAAATCATCAATGAAAATATACCATATGTAAAATGACAAAATCTAAATATACAAACCCTTGGGAAAATAAAGAAATTGATAGTCTATGTAAAAAGTTCGTAAGGGTTCCGCGGAACCCAGCGTCTCGCCTACTTTTGCTGCTAGTCACAGGCTCAACATAAATGGGGAAAAAATTATTAAAAAATTTCCTATAGATGCTATCTTTTGATTGTAAGAAGCTCCTGTCCAAGTTTGGTAAAAATCCAGAATGGTTTATGAATCTAATAAATGTTTTCAAAACTTTAACTACAGACTGTATGTAATGTTAACTGGAAGAAAAACTAAGTCCATTTATAAGTTATATACGGAAAAACAGGAAATAAATTTTTACAAAATTTCCTTCTAGATACTAGCTTTTGATCATAAACAAGCTTCTGTCCAAGTTTGGTACAAATCCAGGATAGTTTAAGAAAGTTATTAAATTTTTTAAAACTTTAACCACAGATTGAATGTAATGTTAACTGGCAGAAAAACTAAGTCCATTTATAAGTAAAATACGGAAAAACAGGATTTTTTTTCAGAATTTACTTCTGGATATTATCTTATGATCATAAACAAGCTTCTGTCCAAGTTTGGTAGAAATCCAGGATAGTTTAAGAAAGTTATTAGCAGGCTTGACAAAAACAAAGACGAGCATTTAATAAAGCTAACAAAACTGGGAAACAAACCACAAAGTTAAATATAAAAAGATTAAAGCAACAACACAAAGAGAGAACAGGAAGGCCCAAAGTAAATATATGGAAGCAGTCATAAGTCCACCACTTGATGAAAAACCAAAATCCTTTTGGTAATATATAAAAGGGAAAAAGATTGAAACATCAGGAGTCTCACCTTTGAGAGGTAAAGATGGACTACTTTATAGTGACACACAAACACAATCAAATGTTTTAAATGAGCAATTTAAAAGTGCATTTACTAAAGAAGATAAATCTTCAATGCCGCATAAGCCAAAAAGCCCCTACCCCACCATGCCATTTATATAACCATTAATATTAATGGCATAACTAAACTCCTAAAAAATATAAACCCCCATAAAGCTAGTAGACCTGATAATATCCCTGCTATTTTCCTTAATAAACTCTCGGATGCAATTCTTTCAGATTTTTCTAAAGCTTTCGATAAGGTCCCCCATGAAAGATTAATAACAAAACTTAATTATTGTGGTAAATGGAAAAATAATTTACTTTGGATAAAAAAAAATTGTCAAACAGCATCAGCAAGTCCTGCTAAACGGTGTTCAATCTTCCCAATTAGTTGTTGATTCTGGTGTTCCTCAGGGCACAGTATTACGCCCAACTTTATTTTTGTTATTCATAAATGACCTACCTGAGCATGTCTCCTGTAAGGTTCGTCTTTTTTGCTGACGACTGTTTACTTTATAAAACATCAAATAATATAAATGAGTCTCAAGCACTCCAAAAAGATCTATCAAACCTTGAAAACTGGGAATCTGAATGGCAGATGAAATTTAATCCTGAAAAATGCTATGTCATAAATATTTCTAAAAAGTCAAAACCTAACTTATTTCAATATAAATTACATTATCATGTACTTGAATCTGTCAAGAACAGCAAGTACCTAAGTGTTACAATAAGCACCGATCTTGGGGTCCCATATTAATAATATAACTTCAAAGGGAAATAAAACTCTAGGATTTTTACGTAGAAACATGAAAAACTGCACACTTAAGGTTAAAAACCTTACGTACACATCACTTGTGCGCCCGATCATCGAGTACTCCTCACCAGTTTGTGATCCCTACAAACAAAACCAAATTAACCAAATTGAGCAGATTCAGCGTAAAGCAGCAATATATGTGTTTAATGAGTACAATGATAGATCACCATGCAGGAGCTGTCACTGGTATGATAAACAAACTTAAATGGGAAAACTTACAATCCCGCAGAACAAAAAACAAAGCTTGTTTTGATTTATAACATTAATGGGGGGTTGGTTGAAGTCACTAATCAGTGACGTCCTGACACAATCGGACAGGCGTACTAGAGGACAACATAAGTTTAGGCATATACATACAAGTAAAGACTATTATTTTAAGTCTTCTTTTTTCCCAAGCACTATTGCAGTTTGGAATGATCTCCCGGAGGCAATTTGCATGTCACCCTCCCTAGAATCCTTCAAAGGTGGTATCTCCACCTTAACATTTGGAGGATCCTGTCTGGCTAATTAACTATTGTATTTAAGCCACTGTACATAATGTGAATATGTCTATCATTAAGCTACAACTAATTTTTATTTTAATTGTAATTGGACTGTGGCAAATATTTTATTTTATATTACAATTTTCGACCTCCATTTAAATGTACATAGCGCCAGTTCCGGGACACTCCGGCACCGGAGTCTTTCCCGTAATCGGAAGAAGATTAGCATTCAAATCATATTTTTTAACTCAGCCCCCGTTTTCCGATCACTCATGGCCGGACTGTAAAGAAGCAGATGTATAGAATCACATAGAATCATGTGCAAAACAGTGTAGCCGAGACCATTGATTGGCGCGCTAAAATATCCCATTGACTGGGTCAGATTAGGTGAACGTTCGTCTGTAACGCCCACAACTCACGACGTATTTATTATAGACATTTAAACTGTGGGGTCACCAAAGGGTCTCAACGCCTAAATAAAATAATTCGAAAAACTAATCAGGAATAACCTTTGTGTTTTGATTTATGTTGAATACTTAAACGTTCTTTACTTGTGTTTTTGTTATGTTTTGATAATGAATTTTTATGATATCGGACGTTCTTTCAGCAAAAAAGGATTTAACTGGCTTTAAAAGTTACAATGGATGTGTTGATTATTATCTTTTTTTCGGACGTCAAAGCGATTTAACAATTGCGGTTGTCCAATTATGTCATCTTTAAACTTTTATCTGGTCAAAATATTATTTTAGAACGAATGCATGATCAACTTTAAAAAGTGTGCAAACACAAAACATATCGACAAAATATACTTCTTTCCTGTCTTTTTCGTACTTGCAAGTTATTAGACAGTAAAAAGGCTATTTGGATCAAGCCTTGTGAAATTTGCATTTACGTTTTTGAATAGGTAAAATGTATAGTTTGGTGATCTTTTCTGCTAACTACTATACTTGTGAAAAACCCTTGGCAACAGAAACATATTCAGCTTTTTTTTTTAATCGACCCAATTTACATAGTAATGAACGACTTCGTACATTTTATGATCGCAAATAAAATATGTATATAATATACTGTGCACTGTAGTTCGTATATATACTGAGACCCTTTGGCAACCCCATAGTTTAAATGTTTGTAATAAATACGTCGTGAGTTGTGGGCGTTACAGACGAACGTTCACCTAATCTGACCCAGTCAATGGGATATTTTAGCGCGCCAATGAATGGTCTCGGCTACACTGTTTTGCACATGATTCTATATATACCTAAAGAGTTGATTTGCTGTTAAAAGTTTTACACATTTGTATTGCAAAGAACTCACTATAAAGACAGGCATGCATGTACTATTGGCAATGACAGTCTATCTCTAAAGGAATGCCACAATTAGTGTTTGCTTACAAACTTAACGTCCAGTGACAAATATTTGAAGTAAGTGTATATATCTTATAGATAGCAAATGAAAAAAGAATTAGCTGTCCGCAAAATATTACCATGTTCTTTTACAGAAAGGTCACGGTCTTTTGATATCAAAACTTCCGAAAATTCACACTGAACTGTACAAGGCATAACGGACCTAGCTTTTCATTATTTAGGACACTTACTATCCAAAAGCTTTGACACAAAAATATACCTGTTGAACTGTTCTTATACATGCACATCCAAATTTTAACATATATATTTTTTTTCAATGTGAAGACATATAAAAAAGAAGATGTGGTATGATTGCCAATGAGACAACTCTCCACAAGAGACCAAATGACACAGAAATTAACAACTATAGGTCACCGTACGGCCTTCAACAGTGAGCAAAGCTCATACCGCACAGTCAGCTATAAAAGGCCCCGAAATGACAATGTAAAACAATTCAAACGAGAAAACTAACGGCCTAATTTATGTACAAAAAATGAACGAAAAACAAATATGTAACACATAAACAAACGACAACCACTGAATTATAGGCTCCTGACTTGGGACAGGCACATACATAAAGAATGTGGCGGGGTTAAACATGTGAGCGGGATCCCAACCCTCCCCCTAACCTGGGACAGTGGTGTAACAGTACAACAAAAGAACGAACTATAAAAATCAGTTGAAAGAGGCTTAACTCATCAGATGGATAAAAATACAAATACTACAAATACAAGTGGACGTGGCCGGGTACTTGTACATCCAAACAACAAAAAGACACTAAGTACAGATCTG